TACTACTGCAGGTACTACTGCAGGTACTACTGCAGATACTACTGCAGATACTACTGCAGATACTACTGCAGGTACTACTGGAGTTATGTTACTGTGATGTCGGTACTTTAGGGTGACTGTTGAGGAATATGGAGACAAGTTAGAAGAGAAATCATCAACCATGTTGCCGATCAAGCAATTTAGTTTTGTACTTGAGGATTAGTAAAATATATAGAAACAATGGTCAAAATTGAAGCATCAGGGGTCAAGATATCCTGACTTTTATCTCCAGCTATGCGTCAAGCCCTCAAAATCACTGGATACTACATATCCCATAATGCAACTCAACAGCACCTTTAATCAAACCCTCACTGTTAGGTAAATACCCACTTCTGTCAAACCCACTCCTCCGATGTGTAACGCAGACTCTGTTAAAAACAAACTCTCACACTTTAAGTTTAACTCTCACAAATGATATAAAATAACTAGAAGTTGTGCTCTCTCTCTCTCTCCGTGAGGGGTTAGCTAAACTTTAATGCTCCTTTAAAACTACGTGTCACTGGTCTCAGCTGTCGTCCTCTCAATAAGCAGAATGGTGGAAAAAATACTAAATAATACATTTTTAAATAAGGCAAGTCGTCACACGTTAACATCTCACTGTTTCATCACCTGACAGGCGTTCACACATGAAACATCAGCGTTACCTGTGAACACTTCTGCCCCGCCCTTAAAGCAAACGGTTACTGAGGAGGTTTAATCCAAACACACACTGCTTCATCTCATCATTTACCTCCAACTGACAAGTTAATGTGTGATTATAGGTTAGCCTGTATTTGTTGAGCTAGTAATACAGTATGTTAGCATGCTAACACGCTCACAATGCAGATATGATGTTTACCATGTTCACCATCTTAGTTTAGCATGCTAGCATGCTAACATTAGCTGTATAGCTGAGGCTTGATGGGAACGTTATTAGTTTTGCAGGTATTTTCATTCAGTTAAAATGAATAAAAAAATACTTTTTAAAGCACTTTCAAGGTGAAACCAGACGTTTACAGACTCAAAGCGTTAATCATCAAATCAACACGATAAATTCAGTTGCAACATATAGAGTTTACAGAATTCCTTAATACCCACAGCAATCCATGTATATTGTCATTTTACCAGCTGTTCATATCAACTTTGATTGTATGTTTTAATTTGGGTCTTTAAATACTTAGCTTAGCGTGTAGCGCGAGACAACAAAGAAATACGACGATGGGATCGTTTCATTTCAAATATTAAAGATATATAAAAACATAAAGATGTTCCACGTAGGATTTATTCCGTCTGTTGGTGTTTAAATGTGTGGGAGCTTCATCGAGTGAGAGCACTTCTTAACACTCTTGTTTCTAAGTGTTCCTGTCCACTTTTATGTTCTATTTCTTTCATCATCTTTGTGGGATTATTTTTGACACAAAGGTAAATGTGACGCTTTATGTCACATCTACGTCTATGACCAAAGTGACAACAGACCAACATTGACCATCCATGGAGCCAAAATCCAACTCTGCAAAGTAACTTAGATCTTATTGAGGATCGTTTCATGCCTTGGGGCCCCTGAACTCGGGTCCCCATCACATTCTGATGAAGAGAACACTTCCTCACTGTCATGAGTCAGATGTTTCGCCTACGCCGGCAAACGACACAAAGCACAGCCAAGAGAGAGACGGCTTATGTTGTCACAGCTGCTCCAAGGCAGAGCCACTGGAATGCCTCGACAGATTGTAAAGACTTCACTGTTCCTCTACGAGCTCTCTGAGGCAATCCAGTCCTGTATACTGGTCCCACCACCAATGACACTGGTGCACCAGCAGGTACATCACACGAGATCCACTCACCCTGTGGCAGCGGCGAGCGGTCCAGCAGGTTTACTCTCTGTCTGGGAATACTCCGTCTCCTCAGAGTTTCTTGCAGGAACTGGAATCTTCTGTGAAGGAAAGTGGAACAAACACAGAGTCCTTCCAGTTATCCAAAAGAGCCAAAATCTAGATTCTAGCGCATTTGTACTTATTACAATCAGCTCATGTTGTAGCTTCCTGGTGTTTTTCAAGAGTGAAAGAAAACAACCGCGCGTTGATGCCCCCTCTCTGTTCCTTAAGCCGAGGGTGTGTCTTTATGAACAAACATGGGTTAATATTTGACTTGGCTCTTTCCTTCCTGCTCCTGTTCCTTCCACCCTGAGTGAGCACGTTTGTCTAAAAGCCGCCTCAAAGGCTTTAAACAGTTGCGGCGTTTAAGTGACTAAAACCAAGTTGGAACCACGAGGCCTCTCCTTTTGTTTACTCCAATAAAAGAGTTTGTTCAAGTCGTTTTGAGAGCGTTAACACTCAGACTTTGTGGAAGCGTGCGTCTCTACTCGACACTGCTAGCTCACGTAGCATCATTGAGCTAGCTAACGTTACAGCTCAGCCGAGGAAGACGACATCAATGTTTACACCATCGCGCCTTCACGGAAGATGCAAGTTGGTGGGTGTAATTTGGTTCTCTGCAGACTATCTCCAACAACTCACACTAAAACAATGTAGACTGGTGAATAACATTAAAGGTAAGAGGATACATATGCATTTCTTTGATTTTGGGGTGAACTGTCCCTTTAAAGGGATATTCAAGCAATTTAGTTTTGTATTTGGGAATAATAAATAAATAAAAACAGTCAAAATTGAAGCATCAGGGGCCAAGATATCCTGGCTTTTGTCTCCAGCTAAGCCCTCAAAAACACTGGATACTACATTTCCCACAATGCAACTCAATAGCATTTTCTTCATATCTTTAATTAAACCCTCCCATACCACGAGGCCTTTCATTGTGATTACTCCAATAAAAAGTCATTTTGAAGAGTAAACTCTCACCTTTCCATAGATGTCCGCTGAAGGAGACGATCGGGATCTCTCGTGGAAACAGGTGGTTTTGGTTCTCTCCTCCGGTCCTGGATCCAGGATGTTGTCAGCTGACCGGTACCGTCCGGAGGCTCTTGTTTCCGGAGGGGGTTTCTGTACATTCCACCTGGCCTCATACTCAGCGAAGGTGCCCAGTCTTTGCTGGTCTAGGACGACCTGCTTGTGTGCAGAGCGAGGACCTTCCTGGACCTCTTCAGTGTACTCTCTGCTCCTGATGCCTTTCATCGTGTCCTCTGTTTCACCGGCGGAGGCGAGACCTCGGGTCCTGGTCTCTGCGGGGTTCTCCGTACCGCACCGAGGGGGGATGTGATTGGGGAAAGCTGGTTTCACGCTTTCTTTACGGAGCCTCTGTTGGTCTAGTGAGGAGCTCTCATGGCGAGGGAGATCTTCCTTCACCCCGACTTCATGGATTTTGCCCGGTTCAGAGAAAGACCGCACCTTCTTCTCCGTGGGAAAACGCTTACGGCCACCGATGCGAGTCACCTGACCGACGGCGTGCCCCGACTTACTCATTACAGACTCTGAGACGGTCGGCAGAGGGGCGACATCTTTCCGGGCCAGCGCTGAGGACGGGTAGTTGGGCAAGGCCTCGGCCGCAGGGTGCTCCAGCAGCACGGGCTCCAGGTCTTTCCTCCTGAAAGACGTGGCCTTCAGCACCCTTGCTTGTGCTTCCTTCAGATTATCCTTATAGGAGCTGGTGAAGGAGCCATCTGCAGAGGTTGGGGTGGTGCTTTCAGTGGACTTCCAGACATCCCGATGGTCCTCAGTCTCTCCCTCGGTACCAGGAAGGGCAGCTGCACTCACACTTTTCTGCAGCTTGGCTCTTCTCATCTGGATCTCGTTCCTCAACGTGGTGGCAAAGCGGTCGCTGCGTCTCGCCATCTTGCTGTCGAGGGACTCCTCGGAGTTCGGGCCTCTTGTCGTCTCGTTTTGGCCTGCGGCGGCGGCGTCGTCCATGGACAGAAAGTGAAGCATGGGCGTTGCCTGGGGGCAGATCTTGTTGCTCGCTTGGCTGTGATGTCTGACGTCTTGGTGATGTTGCAGCGGCGGCAGAGACCTCCGCTGTTCGGGCTGCCTGCTGGAAGCGTGACTCGTGAACTGGGCCTCTGCGTTGTGTCCTCTCTGGCTTCCCCTGTCGTCAGGGCTGGATTTGGGTACAGAGGTTTCTATCACAGTCTTAACTTGGTGCTTGCTGTACCCGTTGCTGTCTTTACCGAGAGAGGAGTGTTGCTGCTGTTGGGGCAGATGATACTTCACTTTGGCGACCGTCTGTGGACTGAGAGAGTTGCGCTCATTTCCGGCCTGTGCCAGGTCTGAGCCGGCGATGCTCTTCCTGTCCTCCGATTTTCCAGACGGCGGGTTGTGCTGCGCGGCCTGAACCGTTGTGACGCTGTAGTACCGGCTATGTCGGCTGCTGTCGGTGTTTTGGTCGGCGGCTGTGGTGGACATGGAGTTGCTCAAGTTCCTTCTGTGTTTCTGACCAAAGTGTTGTGCGGAACCGTTGGTCGGCAGCTCCTGCATGCTACAGTAGTAGCCCCCTACGTTCTGTGGCTTTGGCACGGACATAGTTCGGGGCTGAGTTTTACAAAAAGTGCTTTTGTCACTATGGTGCCTCTGATGGTAGGGCTGGCCTTGCCGAACGTCACTGCTGGACAGGGATTGCTGCTTGTTTGACTCAAACTGGTTCGATTTATCAGACGAAGCGTGTGAAACATCGCTGTCATTTTTCAGGGTCGGGTTCTGGCTGCGGCGGTTTTCAGTGGAGGTCTTGTGCGAGTCCGGTCCTTCGGGGTGAGCTGCGACGAGCCCCCTTTCGTGCACCTTCGTCGCAGCAAAACTGTCACTGCGTGCGGGTGGAGGCGGAGGCGGAGGAGACGGGGAAGTCGTCTTCTTTTTCATTTCGGGGATGTGCCAAACAGGTCCTAAGCTGATTCTGCTTGAAGTGGAATGGCGCGAGCCGACCGAGTCATCGGTCTGTGTGCCGGCGCAGCCCGAGTTAACTCCCGGCATCTGGAAGTATGCTACCCTATCGTCCTGTTTGACTCCCTCAATCACGCTCTGGCTGTTTCTGGCATTGTTGTGCTTTCCCCCCGCGTCCCACTGACCGACCTTATAGAGCATGTTCTCCGTGGAGGCGGCGTTGCTCTTCGAGAGGGTGTAGTCCGGAGTGCCGGAGCTGGTGGAGAAGGAGCTGTAGGCCGAGTCTCGTTTGCCTCCTCCGAAATGCTCCATGCTGTTGTTGGACTTGGCGGGCGACAGCTGACCGGCGGGGTACGGGTGCGAGACATGTTCTAGACTATCCATGCTGCCGAGAGAGCTGAACTGGTCGGACACTCTGCGCAGGTCTGTTTGCTCCCAGCCAGAGGACAGATCAGTGGAAGACGAGCTGCAGGTTAAAGCGAAGGAGAGTGTGAAAATACAACACAACAAAACCTGCAAAATACTGCAAAAATAGACATTTACCGACACATTGCTGTTCATCAAGGATCCTTAAATTGATACACAATAGATCACAGGCCCCCCACCCCCCTCCCCATTTGGTAAACATTTTTAGGGACCTGGAAATCTGGAAGACAGAAGGGTCTAGGATATGTGTATGAAGGATGTTTCCAGGAGGAAAACAGGGGAAAAAAAAATAAAGATAGAATCTTTATTCACTGTTACTGGGCAAATGCCCAAAACTTTTAGATTTATTTTATTGGTAAAAGCCGATTTCTGTGGAAACTGTTGAAAAACACTTTGGTTTTCAGCAGACACAAGAGTTCAACAGAAGATATAAAGTGTCTGTAGTAAAACCCCTTTAAGTTGAATTATATACTTTTAATCTAAACTCAGAGACTCAAAGAGGCAAACTTCAAGATCCCCCGAGTTACCTTGCATCATATCTGGCGTGCCGGACTTGCGTGGGCGGAGACTGCGTTTTGGCGGCCTCTGATTGGCTCTCGTTGAACTTGGTGGCGTGCCAGGAGTGAGGCCTGCTTATGGGTTCATTCCTCCTGCAGAGAGGGCAGAGAAATAAGGATTAGAGACCTGAACCTGGTGGAACACAGTGTGTGCTTACTGTGCAACTGAGAGGAACCGCTATCAGCTCAACTGGTTAAACAATGTACTAGTTTTACTGCATGTTATGGAAAAATTGTATTCAAATATAAAGAAAGAAGATTTGTGCATTGTCGTGGTTCGATACTCCACATTACTGCATCTACTGTATGCTGAGCAAGAACTTTTTTGCAGCACTTTTGATTTGATTTACAGAGGGAAACCCATCAAAACCTTTGCACGGTTGTCAGTTCTGCACATTAAAACGTACCCTTTGAAGCGATTCTTTCTGAATTGCATGTCAAGAAAACATGAACAGAGAATATCAGCACAGACATGCACCTCAGTTCAATTTCTTCAGTCAGCACACGGACACAAAAGCATGTGTGTGCACGTCACGGACAGACAGGTGTGTGTTGCATGCTGCACAAATGGGATGAACATCTTCCATCTAATGACAATGAACCACAGGAGGATCCAAAGAGCAACACAGCACGGGAGAGGGAGAGTCGCTATGAGAGGAATGAGGATGAGATTATGACCGGAGGAATGTGGGG